AGCTAGATCGATTGGAAAATATCAGTTTTGGAGAAAATCGGCTCAACGGTTTAGCCACTAGCGTTGTTTACGGGCAGACGATCGGACAGACGTTTTCCGTCATTCGGTTTTTCAGTATCAAGGACCCACAAAACGTGGATTCTGGCTACACTAAGTGTTAGAAATGTTTTTTTTTCAAGTTCAGCAAGTGGATTTATTCACTTTTTTGTTACCAGGGTCCTGTAATAAGAGTTTTTTGCGCCTAAAATTCGCCGTATTTTTCGCGCAGCATTACACAACTTTATCTCTACCGCGTAAGCGATAGCAAGAAAGTAAATGGCCCCACCTGGCGGCGTTTGAGAATGTTTTTGTCATTGTGAAACACAAGACACGCGCCGACGATGTTTCACAACACGCACTCCACACTTTATGTTTTCGGATAGAAGGAAAGAAGTCATAAACTGTCCTGTGCTATGGCTTGACAGCCCGCTACGGGCTTTGGTCGCAGCGGTGTCCCAGCCTCTCGGCTATGGGAAAAAGAGTTCATGCGGTTACCACGAAGACATCCCTTCACCGTATATTCTGGTCTTCATAACCTTAGACTGGGCTTTCTCGTCGTCACTTAGCAATAGATACTAGGGCATTTGTCTGGACAACGCACAGTTATTATTTTGGCCCGACCGGGAATCGAACCCTGGGGTTGGCTGTAGAAAAAGCGATCACGCTAACCAACGGTCCACCTCGGGCACACGTTATAAAACTAATTTTGTGTAAAAATGGTAATACAATTTCGTGTGATTTTTGTGAAGCAGAGAATATTTCAAAAATATTAAATTCATTACATTTTAATTGTAGTTTTTTGATTTCGATTATGGATTTTGTCATGCGTGATCAACTACACATCGCTAATCAACACCTGCTCATTCATAAAAAGTGACATACTCTCTTTACGCAAACAACACAGAATTTTTCTGTTCCGATTCTATTCAAATTTACCTGGAGAGACGGCTCAGGACATCAACTGATGTCACTGCAGTCCCTCTGACCGGGAGGTCCTAGGTTCCAGTCCCTATGGTGGCAGGATTTTGACACTGGCTTGTCAGCTATTAAAAGGTCGAGTTTAGTCTCTGTCTGGAGGAGAATTCTAGAGGTCGGCTGCTCTGATCGGTAGTTTTCCGTGGTCAATACCAGGCGAATGCCGGAGCAGTACCCTAACAAACGGGCAACGGACCGCGCGCGATCTTTACCTCCCATTCCTTGTCTTGCCCTACCCCTTACACACACTACACTTACACTAACATACACTTAACCACCATACATGCCGGGAAACCGGTCGGGAGCTTAGAGCTTGTCCCGGCTGGGGCGGTGCCCTGCTGGTCGGAGATACCTGGTTGAGGGAAAACCCCGCTAGTCGACGGATCTCGCCATCCAGCGGGGGAAGACTACCGCCCCCTCCCAAGCAAAAACATACACTACACTTACGGGACATAGATTTTTGATGCGCCCGGAATCACTAACAATTAATCAATCATCATATTCAAATGAAATCCTAAACAAATGATGACGTACTCACTAGGGCAGTCGGTTGAAGAAACCATACCTCTTCCTTAGGATTGTGGGTTCTAAACTCACGCAAAACATGGAAGTTTCAACCTCGTAATTTGCACCGTGGTAAGCAAAAGCAAACAATTGGTTATCTCATAATTTCTCTAAATTATCGAATCCCATTTGACAATTTCCCTAGAAACCCATGTATTACTTGACTGCACTTTCAAGGCTTGTATTTGCTTCTGTCCAGTTCGAATCTTGATAGAGACAAACAGACATGGATGTTTTCAATGCAGTATGTTTGTGATGTTGATGACAATAGCCAACATCAAATATTCCGTCGTATCGTCATCGCAACTACTTCCTGTCATCAACATCCATTCACAATTCCGTACAATCACTAATTTATTACTCCGAAAATGAGTTTGTCTATAATTAGTTTATAGACAACCAGCTTTAGGAAGATATGAAATAAAAATACTGCAGATAAACTCAACATCCATTCGCTTGTAGATGGATGACATTGTATAGAGACACACTATTGATACAGAAACATTGGAGTCTCGACAGTTGTGTAGACGAGCAAATGTGATATATCTTACTTCTGTCACATTGTCGCTAGCTCTGCGAAATGACGTAAATTTGTGGCTGAAATAGAGATTTACGTGTAGATCTATGGCGGAAGTCGTCTTAGATAGTAGATATTCCGAACACCATTACATAGTTACAAATAAAACTTAGAATTCTGAAAATTTAATGATTTTATACGTACAGAAATTGTATTACGAGATTTAAACTGATATACACTGGTGTTTCACTATTCCAAAATGATGGGATTTTTCGAACAGTGTGCTTTGGGTTCGAAAAATTGTGGGATTTTTGTACAAACACAATGTCGAAGTGTCATTCATGTTCTAGAGTGACAGGTTTTAGTCTAAGTACTCTTTACTTTTTTAAATAAAACAATTCAAAACTTCGTAAAAATAACATTTGAATATCCTAAATATAATAATCGTTCAGCTGTTCTCAACATTGACATGCACACTTTTTAACTGTCTTGTAGAATAATATTTTTTTTTTCCTAGTCAACATTTATGGTGTTTTTTCTATTATGTGCCGTATGAGGATTTCGTTTCTCTCATGTCTCAAAGGCATATTCACACTTCAATCAAATTGAAGGTTAGTGTTTTCCTTTTGCTGCTGGTTCAGATGTTATCTCTTTGTTTATTGTCTTTAAGAATATTTTGGTAAGTTTGTATTTTATGTGACACAAAGTTTCTAGCCTCAAACGAAAGGTGAATGTTCCTACTACGGTTTTGAATGATAGTGACTGAATGTTATTCGTAAGGCGGATTTAAAAGAAGATGAAGGTGATGTGGCTGCCAACGTAAATATCGATCACTATGTAATAATTGCATTAGTAACATTTACTATTATTAAAAATTTTGAAATTTGTATATTCTTTTTCTTTTTGTATGTATTTTACAATAAATTAATTTGAAGTTGGTACTCCATCGTTTGATAATTGTTTGAACATTTGAAAGGCGTATCACGACATACATACATTAATCCAAACTTCCACTTTTTTAAGAACGCGTTCGTGATTTAGAAATGCACTGTTGACTATAGACGAACAAAAATATTTTGAGAACGCAACTCACGGTCTATCTTAGACAAATCATTTTATTAAAAATATTTTTAAAATAAGTAAACCATATTTTGTATACTGTAATGAAGGCTCGATATTAACACATTTTGAGAAAATAAACAAGTAAGCTTGAGCCAGGTTTTAGTTTCCTAATTAAAGAAAGTACTAAACTGACGATTCAGAAAAAAATTGTGTTAAAAAAGTAACAATGTAAATGAAAGAATAAGAGAATTACTCATTAGCAAAATAATATTTCAAAATAAATCAAAATATAAGGACATATATTGGTACAGTTCAAAGCAGTATAATGCATTTCTATAATTTTTTCAATGTAAATAATGTCATTCCTATTTCGTTGAACTTTTGAAATTGTGTGCATTTTTGGGCTTTACTTGAAGCACGAGAATTATCCTTGAAAGAATGAAGACGTTGCATGCTCGCAGTCAGTTGCCACTCGCAGCATTCAGTACAGGAGAATAAACAGCACTCACCACCACCACCACTAAATCCACAACCACCACTAACACCACAACCTATTCTATTCAGCATCAATGCCTGTTCTCGTGCGTCATTATCTAGTCTAGGTGTTTTATGGTTATTTTGTTTGTGATAGGACATTCAAATTTTAAAATTCTTTAAAAAATTAAATACTTAATGATTCTGTCACTCGAATCCCCAACTTTTTTTTATAGCTCTGTGTTATTTGTCCTCTATGCTTTCAGTTTTCAGGGTAATGATTTTACATTTCTCTTACGTTTAATGTTCACTGCACATAATAACACGAAACAATTGAGTGTATCTCATCATCATATACTTTTCTGAAACATTATACATTTCAGAAAAGTGAAGGTTAATAAATAATATATTTTCACCGTAGTGAAGCTGAACTCAGAATTCCTCCCAGTTATGGAGATATCCTTCGAATGTATAATTGACTCTTTATTATTATTATTATTATTATCATTATTATTATTATTATTATTATTATTATTATTATTATTATTATTATTATTATGCCTTTTTAAAATTGGATTCAGGATCATTGAGTCAATTACGACATCAGGAGGTGAAGTTGTTAAATTTTACTTCAACGTTTCGCAGTTGCAACTACATTGCAAAATTTTCTCCCATACGAAACATACATTTTTACTGTTTTTTTCTTTTTTTATTTTATTTTATTTGTACTAAATAAATCAAATAAAAATTATTCAACATTTTATAAATTCACGGTCATAGCAACCGAATTACAATGCCTTCCATAATGATTTGCATTGCATTGTAGATTCCAAAATTTTAGTATTTTTAATAGTCTCTGTTCAGGTATGTATTATTGTAATTAGCTTGCTGTATCTATGAAGTTATGTACTCAGTTTACAATGTCCATATTCATTCAAATTCCTGAAAAGACGTTAAGCTCGCACGAAATGTTGAAATAAATAAAGAACATAACATTCATATGTCTCAATTTGTCTTGTCCTCTAGGGCCCTGAATTCAATTTATAATTTGTCATTTATTATTATTATTATTATTATTATTATTATTATTATTATTATTATTATTATTATTATTATTCGCGTACGGGCCACTACTGACCACGCAACACATTTCTCTCTCCGAGGCCCAGTTGTATTCTATCCTAGAGAGACCAACGTGTGGAATTATGGGGATCAGCCTTTCGGTTGCATCCCTTGGTTAAGACAAGGTTGTTAGCCTTGAAGGGGGGATGGGATGATATTTTATTTTTATTATTATTATTATTATTATTATTATTATTATTATTATTATTTGGTGTTGTGGCTTCGCCCCCCCCCCCTGAGCCGGGTCCGCTGCTCGTGCGCAGGGAGGCGGGCAGCATGGCGGAGGGCGGCGCCGTGGTGTCGGCCGTGGCGCCCGTGGACCCCGCGCCGCCGGCCGACCGCCGCCTGCAGCTGCAGCCGCAGGCCTCCACGGTGTGGTCGCGCCGCCAGCAGGCCGTGTCCGTGCGCCACGCCTTCAAGCAGTACGGCTCCAAGAAGAACCCCAACCAAGTGCTGAGCAACCTCAACATGACGGTCGCCAAGGGCACCATGTGAGTACGCCCCGCCTGCCCCAGCGCCCGGAAGCGTACAGTCCACTCCGGTTATAGTGAACTCGTGGGGACTAACTTGTTCGGTTCACTATATCCGATGATGTCAAAATTAAATAAATTTCTCCGCGATGAATTATTAATATAGGGACACAGCAAAATTCATTAAAAACATGAACTGAAAATTTCAATATCTTTATTTGTTCTTAAAAAAACAATCACTTTCAATTGTTTGATTCGTACCTTTTTCATTAGTAACTTCTCGAGATCCTTCTCTCCGTACTTGATACTTGTCCTCTGTCTAAGTATTGTAATGCAGTCTTGACACCTTCCAATGCCTTTTGCACTGTCGGAACACCGTCCCACTCTCCGAAGGTCCCTTTAGGCGCCTAATAATAACATGCTTCTGAACATGCTGAGATCCATTTAATTTCCAGGATGCATTTCCTACGTTCACTATAGCTGAGGCTCGGGTTCATTGTAACCGAATCTCATGCTTATTTGTGAAACGGGATCAGTGACAAGTTCACAATAATTGAGAGTTCACTCTATCCGAGTTCACTATAACCGGAGTCGATTCTACTTGGATTTATTTAGAGCTGCACTTGAAATAAATCAGATGTCAGCTTCATCCTATCTGAAGCTTGAACGTCACCCTTGTGACGTCACTGTAGTAACTTGTAAGCTCCCGATTGGATGACATCCTAACAGCCGATGACCTGCCAGGGGCAGCTCTAAATAAATCGAAGGAAGCTGTTGCTTAAGGGTCCCTGTCAATAGGAGACCCCACGCTCCGAAAAGACATTCTCTAAACATTCGGGAAAATGTAAAAACGTTTCTAACATAATTGTTCTTGAAATAAAATACTAATGTGTTCAATTCTATAACTAATTTCTCAATTTTCATTTGCATTTCTACAAAAAGGTATTGCATTGAAATAAAATACGTGCTTTTAGTAAGCCTAAACCTGGAGGGGGTGGGGCAACTCGATTTTGTGCTTGGGTGGGAGGCGCAGTACTTGAATGTGTTCGTGGCCCCTGCCACCCCTTTTTTGCTCATTTGCACCCTCACTGCTCTCTGTCGTCAGTCCTCCTTCCCCGTCCGTCGCTCCTCCTTCCCCTCCCAGTCTCTCGTCCTATGATCCTCACCGTATCTTCATCATTGCCCAGTTTCATCTTGCCTTCATTTCCTTTCTCAATGACTCTGCGTATTTCCCTCCGGGGCTTCGCGCACCGCTGCTGCACACGCCCTCGTCCCCGCTCGTCCTCGAGCCTGCCGCCGCCGCGCGCCACCGTTCCCCGTCCTCCCCTCGCTGCCCTGGGCACGGGCGGAAAGGGCGATCGCCCGGGGCCCCGCAAATCAAGGGGCTCGATGATGGGACTGATGGGGAAAAAGTTAGCAGCAAATTAAAAAAGAAGTTAGACCTCCAGAAAATCGTTATCTTAATTTTATAAGTCGTGGTTCAGTATTCTGATAATTCATAAAATTTTCAATTATTTATTTTACCTTAAATTGTTAATTATAGTCATTTTTTATAAGGTACTCTATGAAATGAATCAAATGATGCTAACGTTCAAATAGGTTCTACTGAAAATCATATTTGTTATTTCATGAATTTAAAGTGATTTTGTTGTGATTTTATTACATGCCAACCAAACACAACCATTTTTGTAGCCTTTTAAAATCACTATGGAAATTGTATTATTTGATCATTAAATACTTTCACTTAAAACTATTATTTAAAATATATTTCCAAACACTTTTCCTAGCTTAAATATTGTAATTTTTTTATTTGTTGAAATAAAATAGCTTGTATAGTTTCTTTATACAACTTTCACATTTTTCCTTTTTTGGGGAAGGGGGAGAGGGCCAAGTTTCAACATTAACACAAGCCCAATATTGTCTAGCTCTGGCACTTACTCCCCTGGCTATTGGTCGTCAAAATCTGTCAACCCTGACCTTGTCCTACCTCTCACTCTCATCGTCTCCTCGTCCTCAAGCGTGACTGTGACCAAGATCGTGCCTTCTCTTGCATCCCCAACCTACAAATTGCCTTGTACCAATGCATTCTAATGTAGTGAGAAATCATGAGAATAGTAGATGGGAGGTACTACTCGTAATATTGTGTAGTAGTGATGTGTAGATAAAGGTGGAGATCAAAAAAATGCAAAATGATTTCCCCTGAGCCTCTTTTTCCTCTTTAAAATACCACGAATAATCCAATCTATGAAATATACTATGGGGCATCTTGTTTTCATTATAGTGTCAACATTATGTCACAAGTTTTTAATGTCAAAATGTAATACTTTCCTTCCTTTCTGTTGGAACTAAGACTACAAAAACTAAAAGAATCCTTAAAAATTTGCTTTTTGGTTCTCATAAGTAACAGAAAATACCAACCCTTAGAAATGTCTTTACATTTTTCAGTATAAAATTCCCATCCACTTCATATTTGCCTTGGTATTTACATAAATCTAGAACAATTTAATGTATTCCACAGTACTCTTATAATTCTGTTGAAAAAAATACTAACATAATTTTTGTGCTTTGCAGTTATGGTCTGCTTGGAGCTAGTGGGTGTGGAAAAACCACATTACTGAGCTGTATCGTAGGACGACGACGGCTGGACACGGGTGAAATCTATGTTCTGGGTGGCAAGCCAGGCACTCGTGGTAGTGGTGTTCCTGGTCGGCGTGTTGGCTACATGCCACAGGTAAAAAAAAGTTTATTTATTTTTCAGATGTAAAAATAACAATAGTACAATAATAAAGGTCACTAACATCACATAGGTACCAACTAAAAAGAGATAAATGTAACATTGTAATTACTTGAAGATAAGTTTGGAGAAACTGTGTATGGTAGTGTACTATTTTTTCAATTGTCTTTTTCCACAGGAAATCGCATTGTATGGTGAATTTTCTATTCGTGAAACAATGCTGTATTTTGGATGGATTTTTAGTATGTCAACTGATGAGGTTGAAAAACGACTCCAATTTCTGTTGGACTTCCTTGACCTTCCAGGAGCCAATCGGCTGGTGAAAAATCTAAGGTAAATACAATTTATGTGTTTCTTCAACACATCTTTTAAAAGTTTGTATTTACATTTACTGATTTGCTTCCTCCATTAACATGAAATATCTCAAATGAAGGATGTAAGAGAACTGGTAGATTGATCAACAAGATCTTTGATATAATTAAGCTTGGATTAAATTTATAAGAATGCTATGTTCAATGTAAGGAAAATTGTTGTACCTAATACATTTTATATAAATAATTACCTTAAAACGGGACATTGACAGTTGGTCCAGAAATTATTCCTGTTAGAATTAAATAAAATACATGCAATGACATACATGGAGAAAGGAGTTCTCAATGGGTACCATAATGGAGTTAAGTGAAGTGTTCAATTCATTATATGGATATTCCATTCGTGGTTTGAGTGGTAAACTCAGAAATTTTCCCAATTGCATCTTGTTCATTTTTAATATTGCCTGCAGTTATTTGTTTCACATGCAAAACTGCATTTAAAAGGTTTTTCCTTCATTTACTATTACTAATATTTTTATTTCTATTTAATTATATGAACTAACTTAGTACCTATTATTTCAAAACCAATTTGAAATATCTGAAATTGTACTGTACATTGATTCATTTTAGCCCAAAGAATACTTGTAACATTAGCAAAAAGAACTGTTTTTCCATTTTTACTAGACAAGAGGCTATTATTTTCATACAAAAAAAAATTTTAGGGCCTAAGAACAAAACCTGTAAGACTCCAGACTCAATTCGCAAAGAATTGGGAAGATGTTTTTCCATGCCAGTAGCCAATATTGGTACTCTTTGAAATTGATGTTAAAGGTACAAAGATATCCAATCTAGGGTAATGCCATTCATTTCATATGAAAGCAATTTTGAAAGAAAATGTTATTGTCAATGATGACAAATGCTTTTGAAATATCTAAAAATATTTCAATAGGCACTTCATTTTGATCTATTGATGAAGTGACTTTGTCCAAATTTGTCATTCTTAACATTTTAAAAATATATGTAATACAAGAAATTATTTCTATTTCAGTGGTGGTCAACAACGACGTGTGTCATTTGCTGTGGCATTAATGCATGATCCAGAGCTACTGATCTTGGATGAACCCACCGTTGGTGTTGATCCACTTTTGCGCCAGAGGTAAAGATATTCTCTCTTTATTTTCTTTTACATATTGATGGAATATTATATTTAATATTAAACATAAGAAAGAGATAAATGTAGTTCTGGAATCTTTATTTATTTTTCAGTATATGGAACCATTTGGTGCAAATAACAAAAGATGGCAACAAAACTGTAATTATTACAACACATTATATTGAAGAAGCAAGACAAGCCCATACTGTGAGTTATTTCTAATAAATAATGAAAATCAGTATTATCCTTTTAACCAAAATTCTAGTGGCATAGTTATCCTGCAAAATGTGTTAGTATTCTTAAGAATGAAAAAATGAATTAGGTTTCACAATTTTACATAAGATTACATAAATGATTTAGCTATTGATGATAAATTAGAGGATTCATTCATTGAACAACATTTAGATATTTTTTCTTAGCAACTCTTCTGCCAACTTTGAAACTTGAAGGAATAAGTCCAATTTAGTTTTACTTCCTTATGATATCTCATTACTCAATGTCAGAATGTTAGTTTTAAGTAAAGATATACAAAAACTGATTTAGAGTTGTAGCAATAATGCAACTAATTTAATTTCTTCTCTCAATTGAAATCTTAACAAATGTAAAATTTATTAGTCGTGTGTTGTTTTTGTTATTAGTCTTCAAAATGAGTCTTGAAAAATTCAACCGTAATTTTTCTCTTAATTTCTAACTTTTGAGGGTAAAAAGTGCGAGGAGGGACAAAGAGTAATATTGTGTAACATCTGCTTCAATTCAGATATTAAGCAAAATGTAAATATATCATGTTTATGAAATACTGTGAAGAAATGATTTCCAACTTAAATGATTATGAATAGTTCAATTAGAAAGGTATCTAAAATGAATTGTGGCGAATACTTTTTAAAAAACAAAAGAACTATATCTGAACTTAAGGTTGTTGAATTTTATTCCTAATCCATTTTGTGTCTTTATTCTGAAATATTTGTGAATAATTCTTAAATTCATTTTATTTTTTTGGTGTAAATCTGTAGACAATTTCATAATTGCTTTGAAAAACTCACATTTTTATTTCTAAAACAGATTGGTTTAATGCGAAGCGGTTATCTGCTGGCTGAAGAATCACCACATGTTTTGTTATCTATGTACAATTGTCAGTCTTTGGAAGAGGTTTTCCTGAAATTAAGTAGAAAGCAAGGAGGTGGAAATTCAAACATGCCTGAATTCAATATTTCCAACAACATTTCTTTGGTGAGTATAGCTCCTATATAGGGCTTCCATATTGTTTTATAATGTAATGCTGAAAAAAATCTATTTTTGTTTTAAGGCATCATTACACTGGGGTCGTAAGGATGATCCTGTATACGTTATTGAAGATAGTGGAGTTGTTGGATTAAATTTTCATCAATCAAAAGAAGTTCTTATCCAAGATTCAACAAATGGTGTGGGATACCATGAAGTAAGTGTCTTGTTTATTTAAATGAAAATGCAGTACTTATCTTTAGACTAGTCTTCTAAGAAAAAATTCAACTGTTAGTAGGCCTACATAATTCAAAATCCAATTGTGTATACACTACTGGAACAGTAGTTTTTATGTGAGAGGCCTTCACTTTTCAACATTAATGTTACTAATTTGAGCAGTAAATAATGTATTGAAAAATAAAATATGTCTTTTTTTTTTTTCAATCAAACCCAAAGACTGTAACAACAATTTCTCTAAAATTAATTGTATTATATAGTAGAAATAATCATAGTTATTTTCAAATTGTAACAGAGTTTCAACTCATGTAGAAGTACAGTTTAATCTTTAAATTTTCATATACCTGTAGGAAAAGGTATTTATAAATCGCACAGTCACAAAAACCAAAAACTTTGATATGCTTTAACTTATTATAATCAGTGCCAGAGCTAAATAATTTTGGACCTAGTGCAATGCTCAAATGTAACCCCCCCGTGAAAGAATTAAGCGTGGAAGTTGTATCAAAAAACTACAGGAGTTATTTTATTTCAAAAATTACAACATTTAAGCCAGAAGAAAAGTTTTTGCAAATATATTTGAAATAATTGTTTTAAGTAAAACTATTTACTCATCAAATAATACAATTTCGACAGTGAGCTTAAAACACTAAAAAAAGTGTTGTGTTAGTGTGCGTTTAATAAAATTACTTGATAAATACATCAAATAATATGAATTTCAATAGAAACTATTTTAATGTTAACATCATTTAATTTATTTCAGAGAACTCTAACTTATAGGTAATAACTGTAATTAACAATATAAGGTAAAACATTATTTGAAAATTTTATGTAATATCAGACAACTGTACCCCAATTTATAAAATTTTGAAAATGATTCCTCCACTTGCAGGGCTCTGAGCAATCATTCAGTCTGCCCATACCTAGCGCTGGCACTGATTTTAATATTTGAGCTTTGAAGAGACAAACACTCTTTATTAAATCTTCTGTAGTATAAAAAAATTTAATCTTAGAATCTTCAATTTGAATCTTACAATATGTATTAATAACCTTCTCTATTTTGTTTAATTCATATAGCATTTATATAATAATATGAAATAGACGTGACAATTCCTTGCTGAAACACAGGTAGTAAGGGTACATTAAATGTTAATATATAATATTCTGCATGTTAGTGCAGAATTGTTCAAGAATTTGTAATCATTATTATTAATCATAGCAAAATGAGCAATTTCCATTTAACTTTATGGGATCATTTCATTTTCTTGGCCACAAACTGTATGGAACTATGTGTCATTTTTGAAAAGCTATTGAGTAATAAACTTTTCTATTTCTCTAAATAATTTAAGACCTCGGACATAAATAATGATAACCCACAATATGAGGTTTTTCACTTTTGCATATAAACAAATAAATTCTTTGTGGTCCCTGTAGTTCATGAAGATAAAAGCACAATATATTTTTAAATTTATAACAAACCACATCTCAGCAGCAAATAATAATAACCCTCATTTCCAGGATGGAAGCTCAAAAATACAGGATTGTGGGTAATCATCATGTACTCTCAAAGTCTTCAGTTTAATAATAAAAAATAAAAACATAATAGACAAAATAATTGTATTTAAGAAGTTAAAACTGCCTATATCTCATACAAAATTGCACAAAACCTAATCATATTTTTCCTTCTCTGTTGATGTGTATTGCTTTTAATATTTTTCCCATTTCAAAATTAATTTTTATTTGTAGGAAATTAGTGTATTTTAAGAGGATTGTTCATTATTTAAAAAGAGAGAAAAGCAGTTAAGAATTAATTTACTCATTCTTCATTTCTATGTCTTCTTTTGGTCAGTGTGACTAATGCTCAGAACAGTATTACATAGGTAATAAATTTGCTAATTGTCTTTCTTGTATCAGATGAATGGAACTGGAAAAGCTGGAAAAGGAGAATCTCCTGTTGATTGTGAAGAATGTAGTAATTGCAGTGATTTTTGCAAACTCACCACTCGAGGAAAGTTAAGAGCTCTCTTAACAAAAAATTTTCTTAGAATGTGGAGAAATGTTGGGTAAGTTTGCATTCTTATGAAGATAGTTTATAATTGTGTATATTATTTGAACTTATATTATAAGAAATATAATGTTATGTTTTAGGAATAGAGACCAATACTTTTAGAACTCAAGTGAATTTTTTTGTCTAATATGATTAATTTTGTTTGACCATATAAACCCATAATTAAATCTGTGTTGTTTTATTTTCAGGGTCATGTTGTTCATCTTTGCTTTGCCAGTTATGCAAGTCATACTTTTCTGCTTAGCTATTGGTAGAGACCCAACTGGATTAAGACTCGCAATTGTGAATCATGAAGTCATGGATTATCGTTCAGAATGCCCTATTGAATATGGATGTAGTTTCAAAAATTTAAGTTGTCGATACTTACAACACTTGAAAAATTCTACTATAGTAAAAGTAATAGAGAATTGTGTGATGCATCATTTGAACAATTATATTGCTTCCATGCTCTTAAAAATAACCATTGGTTTGATATATTAAAGAAGTAATATTATGTTTCAGGAATATTATGAAACACCTGAGAGTGCAATAGAAGCCGTTAGAATAGGGGATGCCTGGGGTGCTCTGTACTTCACTGAAAATTTCACTGATGCTCTAGTTGCCCGCATGTTATTAGGTCGAGAAGCTGATGATGAAACATTGGATCAAAGTGAAATCAGAGTGTGGCTTGATATGTCAAGTAAGTTTTGAAATGACAGTGTTGTATCTTCAATTAATGATTTACAGAAATAATATTTATTATAGTTATGCAATAAAACTATTCGTTTCTGTTCTTTTTGATTCCCTGATTATATCTTAGATGTAGAGAGATGTAAAAGAATGTGGATAAACAAGATGTTAATTAGGTTATTTTTTTAATTTTATATTAAACTTTTTTCTTTCTATTAAAAAACTCCAGGTAGTTGTGAGAATTAGTCCCAGAAGAAATTGTAATTTTATGATTTTTATCTTCTTTCAGATCAGCAAATAGGTTTGATGCTTAATCGAGATCTCCAATTTTCATACAGAGATTTTGCTCAAAATCTTCTGACTGACTGTGGGGAAAATCCAAAACTAGCAGATGTTCCCATTCAGGTATATATTTTAAGGGCTTATATGGTTTATTAAATTAATGAAATTATTATACTATTTTGCGCTGTGAAGCACATTGTGATATGCTAGAATTTCTTTTTCCTATTTTTGATTATTCATTTTAAATATTAACAAATTATAAAGGTATTATCAAAGCAGTTAATAATTACTGCTTTGGGAGCTTTGGGAGTAATTCCATAGCTAAAAATGAAATGGAAATCAGGGTGGATCAGTGCTCGAAGAGAGTAAGCACATTATTAGGAGTTTTGCTAGATCTTTTTTTGCATCAAAAAGTATTATTAGTTCATTAAAACATAAAAATAACTTCTGTTTTATTAATAATACACAATCATAAGACTAATGATCGTGATTTTAAAATGGTCAATATATATGGAAAAAACGGATGTACAAAAAAGTTTGAGTTTTATTTTCTTCTTGTATTTGATTATGTTCAGTATTTCAATTTTATTACAAGACCTCACAGTTTGGTCAAGCTTGACATTCATCCAACCCCTAAAAATGATAAACTTTCCAAAAATAAAGATAAAATGCAAAAACTTAGATCATACTATACAGATACTATATATCAATTCAGTGTAAACTTTATATACAACAGACTGCTTTACAGAAAATATTAAAGTGGTGGGGTGGGGAGGTCAAGTACGTGTTACAGGTGTATTACATGGGAGAGAGGAAGTTTTCAAAATACTCCAAATTTGCATTATGTAATTTATGGATATCTAGCAAGGGCCCTTGCGACTTCCCCAATTAGGAAATTTATCAACAATTTTTAAAGCATCTGTGACAATTTCAGATTCAAAGCATTCATGATAGATATTTTTGGAGTTTATTGGTTTACCTAGTAACCTGTACTTAAATACTTTCTCCCCGTTTGATGAAAATTCTCTATAATGATAGAAAGCATTTGGTTCCTTGAGTTTTTTTGTAAAGAGTTTACACTGCCTATGTATGTTCATAAGTTTTTTAACTTTTTTGAAGGAACTGAATATGAGAAATGAGTGAATCAGTTTTTCATATGATGAGTCAAATCTGTCCTTACTTTTGAATTAATAATATAATGAAATATTATATTGTTATCAAAAGTTAATTTGTGGTTGTTTGACTAGTTTTTCCCCACTCTCAAAATAAATAAAAAATTAGTGAAGTAATGTTTCATTAGTTTACGTATTTTTCGTTTAATGCATACTTATTGTTTCAGTTCCGGGAACCAATTTATGGCAGCAACGACCCTAGCTTCACAGACTTTGTTGCACCTGGTGTAATTTTGACGTAAGTTTTTATTTACGAGACAAATCAGTCTTCAGGCTGCTTCTGCTTGTTTCTCTAATCTGAGACTATTTATTTAAATCTGAGATGATAAGTGATGAGATAGATTTGTAGCTGTGATAGCTTTAGTGAACAGTGAATTTGTGATATTAATTGTGGTCTACCATTTTCTCCAATTCACAATCCATTGACACATTTTTATTCATTTCCATGATCAACATCATTTCTCTCAGGGTAGTGACAAAGCTGACTAGTGGACATGTCATTGTTCTCATTATTTTATTTAACAGAGTATAATTTAAAATATTATTTTTATCTTTGCATTTCAGAATTGTATTTTTCTTGGCTGTTGCTCTGACTTCATCAGCTCTTATCATAGAAAGAATGGAAGGTCTCTTGGATAGAAGTTGGGTTGCAGGTATGACATATTATTTTTCTAAAGTGTTGATTTTAATGTGATAAAGAATAAAATTACATGTTGGTAATAAATCTTTTTTCAGGAGTGACACCATTTGAGATCCTCTTCTCTCATGTTTTGACCCAATTTTGTGTTATGTGTGGACAAACCGCATTGGTTCTAATATTTATGATATTGGTATTTGGTGTGGAATGCAAAGGTGACGTGGGTTGGGTCATTATCCTAACTATCTTGCAAGGATTGTGTGGCATGTGCTTCGGTAAGTGACAAAACATTTTGTTTTATTTTTGACTGAGTTAGGGCTATTAGTTGGTTCTATTAGTTAACTACTAATAGTTATGATGAGGAAATATTTGATTCATCAAAACATGTGAAATGACAAAAAGAGCGTTCCAAAGTTTAGTAGAACAAATGGGGAATTGATATAATTATAGTTAGTATTGTAACTACTAACTCTAAGTCAAAGAAAAGACAATATAATAAAACAAAATATTAGTAAAATTAATACTGAACTTCTTTCAATAGGATTTTTGATATCTGCAGTGTGTGAACTGGAAAGAAATGCTATCCAATTGGCTTTAGGAAGCTTTTATCCAACGTTGCTGCTTAGTGGTATGTATTTGCTTGGTTGTTGGTTTTTTCCTGTCCATAGCTTATTAATGACATATCCAATTTAAAAATGACATCTGCCCTACATCTGAATTAATATTCATGTAATTTTGATGTATTAGCCACTGAAAAAGAAAGTTCACTGTAGGAATAAAATGCACTCTTGCAATGAAATTGAATTTTTGGAGACTTAATCTGAAGAAATCGTTGGTTGTAGGAATTCTGTGTGTATGAATACTTTTTCAGAGCCATTAATAAACATTAATCCAACTGATCTCAATCAAAATTATCATATTAGCAGACTGATTTATATTCTAAAGGTTACCTTTTTTTGTGTGCTGCTATAGTCTGCTGTCTCATACTATCTTCAGTCCTTCTTAGCACATAAACAATTTCATCCAAATCTTGATATCATTCAAACAGGTCTTTCTCTTTCTATATAGGAAGTACTAATTTCATATCCAGAAACCTCAAATTTATGGATTTTTATGTCCTTGGAGGCTTATAAATTGTATGTAATTGTCTCTACCTAGTCAATAAAATTGAAGTGTCTGTCTATGATTTTCAAATAATCTAAATTATGCTAGGCGAAATTCTATTTCTGTCGGTAAAAATCCCATTAAAATCAGTTTAGCTGTTACCAAGATTATCCCTAACAACAAAAGAAGTTGTAAAAACAGTTGTGTGAGTTAGAGATAAAATTGTGAACCCAATATTGTGTTTTTATAATTTTTTAAATAACTGTATGAGCTTGTAGAATATATTTTGAAATCACAGACTACATTTCAGATACAATTTATTACTCATTTAAAAGATTTATCAAATTTTAAGCATTGTACATTGATCCGGATAGCTGAGGCAGTAGTGTTGTGGCGATCTTGGATCGAAGGATGATGGGTTCGAATCCCGCCTCGAGCATGGTTGTATTCGTGATCTTCCCTTCACCCTTCATCTTCATCTTATCACTTCATTAAAGAATGATTAATAATTCCCTGTGTGAGCAGGTGACCCTTGCCCATAATGAGATGTGCAGTTGGCTAAAAAAATAAATAAAAACGCATTGTGAAGATGTCATACATCTATGGGAACTTATTAATATTTGTATTAACAACATTTTTATTTCTTCAATCTTTAAAAATATTTCATAGTGGGAACAAATGTTTAATGTATTGAATTAAAACTTAACGAAAATACATTTCTTTCTGATATTAAATTAGAATTATGATTTTTTAGGTTTCATTTTCTTTCTTTGATAATAGTATTTGATGAAAACATGTTATGCATTTATATTTATATATGTTTTGTTTTAGGTGTTATATGGCCAGTAGAAGGAATGCCAATTGTTCTGAGATACATAAGTTTAGGTCTTCCATTGACAATGGCCACCACTTCTCTTCGAAGTATGCTTACACGAGGATGGTCAATCATTGAGCCAGATGTATATAATGGTTTCCTAGCAACAATAATTTGGATAGTTCTATTCTTGACCTTTAGTATGATAGCACTAAAATCTAAGCGAGGCTGAACAAGGTATTTTTAATATTAGTCATTTGTGCCAAATAGCAAATAAAATGTTTTTCTCTTGGCACAAATATAAATAATTTGCATTACAGTTTATGAACTTATAATGGGTGTTGAATGGACTGTAATTGCAACATGTTATGCAGTCAGTCAATGATTGAACTAGTAGCTAACATCCATTTGCAAATAATGTGAATCAGACTGCATGTGAGTGGAAAAATCAGTAGATTTGTGACACTGATGAACACTTTGAAGGACTGAATTATAAATGGACTGAAGCAGTCAAGAGATTGCATTTGGCTTCAGCAAATTCTATTATTATATTTGCATCCAAGAAACTGATTTCCAAGAGGTGCTCTACTGAAGGAAACTTTGATTGAGAGTGAAAAGTGTCTGTAGTAGCTGAACATTTATAGGACTGTTATACAAATGGACCAAGTGATTATTGAATGTATTTAGTGACTGACATTTAGCACAAGAAACAATCTGTTTAAGCTGTCAATCAAAATGTCTACTCCCTTTGACTACTGAGTTTCTTGATCATAGAGTGCACTTGGCTTTCTTCCAAGCACCACCTTCCCTTATTTTGTTTTTGTGAGCCATATTATCTGTTGAATGGGTAAGAGTTAATAATTGTAATAATTATAAAAGTATAAAAATGTGAGGCAGAAAAAAAGAAGACAAAACAAGCAAGTGAGAGGAATGCCAGTTGAGAAGATTTTCATTAAATTTGTTAATAATTATTCAAATGAATAAGATTGGAAACAAATGAACTTTCTGAGCACAAATGGAGGCAATAATTTATTGTTTTTAAATTTTTTCAGTTTATAAAGTGGCCATATTACTGTTTTCAAATTTAATTCAGTTTATAGAGTGGCAAGGTGTGACTACAATTAGTTCATTTGGATCTTATGATTTTCTTTCAATTTTATCCAATAAAAGAAAATAATTTTTCTAAATGCATAGTTCTTTGATGTTAAAATCTTAATTAACTGACAAAAAACTAGTTTCAAATAAGAAATAAATGATAAATTGTAAGCATTTAAAAAGCCAACTATAAAGTGAATGGAAAAATATTCTGCATGTTTTTACTGTACAGTTTTTTATTTTTTTTGCTTATTGATTCTAACTTTTGTTACAAATGTTTTTCTTTTAAAACACTTGTAAACTGTCTTTGACTTTAATCACATTGAGTAACAGCAAATAATATTTAGTGTGTTCTATTTAAAAATTTGATGTGAAAATTTGGGTTTATTTACATTTTACATAATATAAATCTATATAGAAATCTGAGTCAAATGATTGGGTTGTTTTGGGGGGAAAAACTTAATTGTGCCACACTTTGTACATATTTTTAAATGTTATTTTAAATATTTGTTTAAGAAATGGAAAATAATTTAACCAACTCTTTATTTAGGCCTGTCATATTTTCAATAGTAAATTGGCATTCAGTTTGAGAGATCAGGAAACATGACAAGTTTTGAGTGAATCATTTTTATCCTTGTGTTACAGTTTAAATGTTAATGTAACTTATAATTACCTTATATTTTAATGGAAGTATTTTGTTAATGCCACTTAAATCTGTAGGTTTTCTTTGTAAATTGCAGTTTTAAATGGTACAGAAGGATAGGATTTGCAGATGATATATTTTTTCTCATGAGTTTCATTTTCTAAATATAACCATAATGTACAAATATTGTTAGCAAACTTTGTTTCCAATCAGTATGGTGGCTTTTCAAGAAAAGAAAACTGTAACTTTGATAATGTGGAGTGGCTGCTTGTGAGTGAATGTTTAAACTACTTGCATATTACAATACGATCTGTGAGATCAATGTGTATCATGTTTAGTGAAGATGAATGCAAAAATTTATTTTACGCGACATTTGCATTCCTTTTTTCTGAACATTTTTATATTGAATTAGTTTGCATTTTCACAATGATCTGAACTGTGATGTGTATTAAGTTCCAATATTAATAGGAGCTCCATATCAATATTTACAATGTAACTTAAATTAATTAGTTCATCCATACATTTTTTTGTAGTCATTATATCCATCACCAGTAGTTTTCCATAGTCCTTTTAGTTTGTTGATTATTCAGGAAATGATTTATTATGTAAGGACTTATTCAAAAAGTAGGTGACTTTTGGAGTTCTACAAGCCAGTAATTTTTTGTTTTGTTTTAATGTTATTGCATATCTGTTACACTTTAATTCTTTCCATCATTGATAAGTGTACGCACTATTAACTAATGAACAGTTTTCATATAGTAATTTTGTCAATGCAACCAGTGCATTAATACTGTTCAGTCCTTCTGCTGGTACCCCCTAAACATTTGTATTGTAACTAGTCAAATACCTACATCAACAGAAATGAAAATATACTTCTCATCTCACACCTAAAAGTAATGTAGGCAGTGTTTTTCTCTAGCCTTGAGCACCAAAGCATTGCACTTCTGCATAAGGAACGGTACTGTTAGTGGCATACAAGTGTACCAGCAGGTAGATTGTTCTGTAAGTGTCACTGAACACAATTCTGTGACGTTTATCCCCTTATTTATTTCTATGTAATGATAGATAACAGTCTCAAGAAGTATTGCTCAAACATTGAAAATGAAGTGGTTTTATGATAGCAGTTTAAGTAGAGTAAATGGTGAGACTCAATTTGTTATTCTTTGTGAGAATATCAATGTTGTTTTTTTTTTACTTATTGTATGATGGTAAATGACATTCCTCCTCTTTATTTTTGGACAACTATCAACCTCTTTTTAGAAAGCTTTAACTAAAATGGAATGATTTTCATTTACTGAATATTAGAATGTATTGTTACGTTTCAGTGTAAGTATATAACTTATCAAACTTTATTGAAAGATACATGTAAATATATATTTTATGTGATATTTGTGGGTTCAGTAAATATAAATGTATACTATTTCTGAAGTTTCAAAGAATCTTTTTATTTCTTCATTGTAAGACTTTGAATGTTTGTGTTCTATATCCATACATTTGGTGACAAAAAGTACCTACATTATTATGTATTCATACAATCCTTCCTCATAAACAGTTATGCCAATTACATGCTTGAATCCACACTTGCATAATCATTCTTGTACCTCATGGGATATCAAAGTAACTTAAGCTGAAATGTACAAAAATCTTTTTACACTATTAGTTTACATTAGTACATGCTTATCTTAATAAGATGTATTGGTAGCATTCCATAATGTAATCTATCACAAAATTGAATGAAATTGTCTAATCTAATTGTGGGTGTGTGAATATATGGGAAGAGATATTTTTTAAGTTTATTTCTTAGAGTTGCTTTATCATGGGGAGAACAGTGTCTGATTCGTAGATTTCAGGGTGCTCTTCTGCTATTAACAATTGAGGTGACTATCCTTTCTACCTAATTTATTTTCTCAATCCATTACAATTTTATGAAAATTTGAGTACTTTTTGCATAATTTTGAGTGCAAATACAACTGAGAGAGTATGTTCTGTTATAGCACCACTATTTTCTTTCACTATTTATATTCCTTCATATAAACTTATGAATACAAGTAAGCAAAATATGGTAAAAGTGTTCTTGATAAAATCTTTTTTATGTATTTTTTTTAATTGCCCCAATTACTTAGAAACTTTAATGAAAATTACATTTACAAAAATACATAAAATTAAATTTTCAAGAACAGATTTCATTGAGGAAAATGTCTTTGTCTAATTTAATAATGTTGTTTGAGAAAAGCGTTCAACATATTTTAAGCATTTGTATGTTTACAAAACTTTTGACTTATTTGCATATATTTTAACACATTTTACTTTCTCGCCCTAACTTCGTAAAAAGAGAAAGTATTGTAATTGTGCACCGGAGAACATCGAATATTCGACTCATTATCGGGCTCTGGAAATGGAAAAAATGGATCATATTGTTCCTAGTAAATTACTCTTTCCCACACATAGTATACTCTGAATCTGTTTTGTGGGTCCATGATACTGAGAAATCGATTAATGGCAAAATGTCTGTCCGTCCGTCTGTAGCCAAAGCTAGCGCCAAAACTGTTCAGCCGATTTTCTCTAAAATTAATATCCATCAATCAATTGAAATGAAATCGTCGTCCTCTTGAGTTTGAAACGGATGTTTTCACTTTTGGGGGTACTTTACACAAAGCCTCAAACATTTTCGAAATTTTCTAAAAAACTGCTTCAAATTTTTTCATTAAACTTTGCCCCCGAATGGTGTAAAGGCTCTGAAGAAGATGGTGCAGGCCTCATTTTTGTTGAAATCCCTAATTTGTCGAAAATTGCAAAACTTTCAATTTTTCAGCCATCTTTCAATTTCATACTTTTCCCACCTACATCTACAGTATTGAAGATATTTATTTTTTCGAGTGAAAGAGCTGAGGACATCTTGGAATTAGGTCATTATTAGTTTGTGCGTAATTTTGTTTGTTTAATACAATTTTTTTAATACAAGGCAATTTTAACGTTTTAAATACATTTTTTTTCAAAAAAGAATCCAATTTTGTCTTTAAATTTTGACTTCGGGTGTTTCAAAGAACGTTAAAAAAATTGATGTGAACCTTATTTCCGGCGATGTCCTTGTATTTTCGAAAATTGCAAAAAGTTAATGTAACAAAAACACAATATTGACTGTAGAGATTTTTGTCTTAAATAAAAATAGTTGCAAAAACATAGATCTGGAGAAAAGGTAATATAAATTTGTTTGAAAAAGTTCAGTACTTTTCTTGCTTGAATGTAATGCAGTTTTTGAAAACACATTTTTTCAAAATACGGTCCAAATTTTTCCTTTGCTTTTTTCCTCGTATTAAGCAAGGAACGCTGAGAAGAATGGCGCAGGTCTCATTTTCATTGGACTCTTTCTTCAAAATCAAATTCTTCAAAATTGCAAATTTAGAAATATCTCGCGACAGAATGTGCTGTTGCAGCACCTCTAGTCTTTCTTGTTGCAAAAATGTCATTAAAAAGTAGCTTGGAATTAACATGGTGGTCACAGGCCCCCTATAAGTTGGGCTACTGGTTGACTACCCTATCGCAGCCCTGAGACGCTACGATGTGTCTACAAGGATATTCTACGTTGATTCACCGGTTTGTCGTTAGCGCTGTCGTCGGACCCGACGGCAACCTCCAAAGCCAGTCGCGAGAGCGGAACTTGTGATCCAGAAACGTTGTGCGGATTGGGGAAAGGCAGTAAGGGATTGTTCTTAAAAAACAATAGCGACCGCGATTCGCTTCTTTTGAATGTTTTATAGATGCATATTACTAAGAAATGTTTACTCATTTATTTGATCGAATGTGAAGTTCTGTGTCGTCTTGTAAAAATGTTAAAACTTGTTAGTTGTTCCGCGAGGTTCGCAAACGCGTTATCTAGTCTAGAAACTAAATCATTTGAAACAGTGTGGTTGGTGAAATATGTGTTGGTAATGTTTTTAAAGTTGCGAAGTTTCGAATTTTTTGCGAGAACTCACACAGCAAGAAAATACCTAGAAGGTAGTGCGTGGTTCCTAACCCGGAAGTAACATATTTTGATAAAATGCATATTGAGTGATTCAATATCGATTAAAATTTGAGTAAACTGAAAGTGTTAAGCAGATGTCAGTAGTAAATCGACAAATCAGTTAAAGTGAAGTGGTACGTAAAACGTTACACACGAGCTGCAAACATCTAGAACTGCGATTAGTGATTTTACGAAGAAATTTTTCGATGCAAATGAGTACTCTCAAACGCCGGTTGAATTGGAGGCTTTAACACCACGATTTACGAAGTGAAACGTGAGCTCTTATAAGTTGTTAGCAAAAATACTTGTTGTGCGGGTAGTTACGCTCAAAATTGAGCAAGGAGCGATTTTAAGATGGAATTATTGGTGGAAAGGTGCATAAGAGAACTGTGGCGAAGTGACGTACCTTCTGTGTTCCTACTTGGCTGGACTTCAAATCATCGTGACCTTGGTCTCCACTTCGTCGGTACCTAATGCTGCCCTTCTTCCCGCCAGGTGGATAGGGAAAATCAGGTAGGAAAATCAAATCTCTTGTAGAATAATCTTTTAGCAAAAGTGCAAAATGTTTAAATTTTTCATTATTTTCACACATTTTAAATTTTTAATAAAAAATAAGGAATAAATTATACAACGTAGTTCAATATTTGCAGATTGCAATTCAGTGTACGTCAGTCAGTTTGAATGTAAGAATGAAGACAGTACGTTTTGGCGTCAAGAAATATTCAATAAATTTTCAAGCTGAAACTGAGCATGTTTGAATAATTGATTCAATAGGATCGAGTATTAGAACATACAAATAAATTACCACGTTCAATTATAAATACTTTGCGTTTTGGGGGTTTTAAAACATAACTTACAAGAATCGGGGAAAACGGAGATTTGTTGACCGCTAACGTAGGATAGAATAGGTTCCAGAACGTAGGGTAGAGTAGCGTAGGACCCTGGCAGAAGAGGAGCAATGTATTGTCCTGCCGCCGCTGGAAGCTCGATTCGGTGAGTGCTCCAGGTGGTCACTAGCCCCCTCCCATGTACCGTGCCTTCCCTCTGCTAGTGCCCTCGGCCAAGAAATGCATCTTACACGATGCCAGAACCCCGCGCCAGCCCAGACCTTTTGCTTTCAACTCCTCCTGGCAAAACAAGGAAGGTCTAGCCACATCAGGGCCGACGAAACGTGTATATTTCTGATGGGTAGAACTATGGTAGGGGGGTCATGTAATTTTTTATTGTATTCAAGTTTTCTTAATGAAAAAAAATATGATAATTGTATAAATATATAGTAGTTTATTCAACCTTTTTAGTTTGAATCGATCAACATTGAAATATCATTGTGCGAATTGGAATTTTTTGGAATTAATTCACCTATCACTTTCTCAACATCGATCTTCAACTAACTCTGGATACGAGTGCCAGACTTCTACATGATTGAGTCGATTTTTCAGCATTGACAAACGCAAGTAATTTTTTACCTGGTGTAGCACAGAAAAGCTTCTTGTTCACGCACGATTTTGAAATGGTCATACGCTGACGAACAACGTGCAAATACTACGGAACAAAACTAGTACACCACTCATTTTCGCGCATAAAATCAAAGACCTCACGCAAATTCCCTTTTCCGGATTCATCCCTTTTATTTTGAAGATGCTCAAGGCTATAACCTTATCGCTCTTTGGTCGATTCGCATCGAAATCGAAGTTGGGATATGAAATAAAGTTTTTAACACGCGGAGCGCGAAGCGCGGTTTTACGTGCTTATTTCACGTGTGTGAAACATCTGAAACGATTCGCAATTGCCTTCCGTCTTGACGTCTTTGTCTATTATTTCCGTATTGCATTTCGCTCATGTCGCGCTAAAAATAGTATACGCAACACGAACGCGAGGTTTATTCCCGCACTTGTCTTTTTGTCGTCTTCGCTGCGCTCGGACGACTAACTCTAGTCGTGCGTGAATCACCTGTTTCGCGCTCTTGTTACGGAAACTATTATTTTGGTCGATTTCAGAAAGAATTTTTTCCACCAGATTTGTCAAAATTCCAGGTGAGTGTTCACCCATTTGTAATATTTTTGTGTGGGTAGTACCCTTCGTATTCCTCTTCCACCGGCCTGAGCCCCACTCCAGGAGGCTGCAGCCCAGGAAGCTGGATCTCTTACATAGAAATTAATATTGAGGAATAATCTATTCATAAAGTAAAATAACAAATTAATTCAAACAACAATAATAATGAAAAAAGCAGACTTCATCACAAAGATGGAAGGCGACACTGAGAAAAGTGGTACAGAAGAAACCCACTTCAGATTGCAACCTCCACTTTGCACTAAACGTAGGTTGGGAGGAATAATTGTTCCTCGTGCAGCTCTTGGCTCCGCTCAGATGTTAGATGGGTAGTAGTCTGCCTTTTGCTGGGATATTGCAGTTATTATTTGTTAAAACAAACTTTGATCTTATTGAAACATTACAGTAAATTTATAAGGTATGTGGATTTGTTATTAAGGTTTGTAATTTAATTGCGATGTGAAAAAATGATCGCATCAAGGAGATTTAGTTCCTTATGGCTAAAGAAGATTACAGATTTTCTAAGTTCCTCAAAGTGAAAATTACTGCTGCATAAGCATGTGATGTGTACATTGTAGTTACCAGTGCAATAAACGTTCCACTTCGTCAACTCGTTTCAATAATTGATTGTTCATTTCTACGGTAATTATAAATTCCTTTCTTTACACTACAAATAGTATTTTATTTATTTTGTTTATTTTTCCTCCATCGCGAATTTTATTCAGATTATCCGAAATTTCGGATTTGTAGGGTTCTACAGTATTGAATTTCTAATTATTTAAATGTATTTGTCCAATTATTTAATAATTTAACTCGCATACCAGTGTTGCAATTTTTATTTACATTTAAATATAAGGCTCATTAAATTGATGAAATACCAAGTACTTTGCTTGAAATACAAAATAATTACCTAGGTAAAGATTAGGATGGGTAAATATAGAATTCCTGAATATTCCAGAATGCCTTCCCGTCATTTTAACTATAAATAGTTGAAATATGAGTAAAAGTGTAACATATATATATATATATATATATATATTACTATATATATATATATATATTATATATATATCTACATAACAATAATATATACTAATAGATTTGAAAAAATAGTCATTTTCGTTTTCCGAGATATAGAAAACTTATACACGGAATTGCAAGCATGTTTTTCTGCATTGCTAAAAATAGCAACTCCGCCCCTTACCTCTACTCTTACCATTACAAGCAAAAGGAGAGTTCAACAAAACGTGCGCATAGTGAAGCTACATTTAAGTCCAGAAGCAAAACAACGGGCCATCTCAGCATTTTCTCAATGGATCAGGGAAACTGGACAAAAACCTGATCGAGATGGGTAACTTTAACTGAGTGGGGAAACTTTGAGAATCGCGAGATGCCTTTGCACCCTACATATTGTATCGATCTAATTGGCAGGTGATCTCCCGGTGAACAGTAGTCGAAGTCGCCCTGTCCAGTTGATTAGGAGGCCCACCTGGCTCGCAGGACAGGTTGGGAAAGGGACGATTTCCAATTCGTTCTGTAAGCTAACTGCTTCTCGAAGTGGTTTGCGACTCTTTTATGGGCACTGAACTATTTAATTCAGAATACCTATCGAGGAATTGCAATACGCTCACTTATTTAACGAAAAACTGAATGTCCGTCCATCGTTCAGTCGCCCTTTAGTGAGGAAACGTCTTGGTGGACGGCACACTTCAAACAGGGTGGTAGCAGGTCTTCTGCGCATTTTGCAACGCCTCAAGGCATTTTTTTTAAATGTTAATGAAAATGTAGAAATCGCATTTTCCCCTTTACAGTAATGATTGTCACGCATGTGACAAAATTTAATTTTTGATGTCCGTTTATTTGGCTTATTGAAGGAGACTGTGACATTGATTAATTCTCTAGGATTGTCTAATTGTTAAGAATGATTAAATCTACAACTGAGTAATTTGATTCATATTATAAACATGACTGATTAATAAACCTAAAACCAAGTAATTTGATTTATATTAGAAACAATACCTAAATCTAAAAACAAAAGGGTTTCGATAACATAATTCCCACATAAAAACACACATTTTTGAGCAAAAAGTTATAAATCATGCTGGCAAGTAAGACTTACCAATAATTAAAATATAAATTGTTTGAACATCAGTGAATCTTCTTTTCAATCACATTTTGGCGCGAGTTCCAAATTTTTAAACTAATAAAATGGGTTTTAATTTTTTTCACTATCATTCACATTGTTTAAAAATCTGAAAAAAATATGTTATGGAATTAAGACAGATTCTGGGGGGAATCTGAGTCAGTACTTTAATGTTATTACGTCGTAAAATGAATTTTATTTTTTTCTGTTTAAATTTGGGATCAAAATTGGTTGACAAGAAAAACCTTCAAATTCAATTATTTTTCCTCGTCTCTGTATTTTTTCAGCTTCATACATGTAATAGAAGCTGGGGAAAAATTAAACATGAAAAACACCTTTCTTGATGTATCTCTGCAATAAATTGCCCTAGCAGGCTTACGTTTCTGGAATCTGCGGCATTTTTTATTCTTTCATATGAGCATCAGCATGTTCTAACGAATCTATATTAGTGGAATTCATGTTGCATTGAGATTGTTGATGTACTAATGGTTAAGTTGTTGATGACATAACTTCCTGTATGTTTGAAGTACAAAGCCCATCTGAATGTAAATTAATACTCTCGCTAACGCCAGAGTATTGTAAGTTTGTTGCACTTATTTTTATGTTTAGTTGATGACTTTGCGATTATTGTAAACAATGTAGTTAAGGATATGTTCATATTTGTGGGTTCGATGCGTCACTTTACCACAGAATACACTTCCACCACACTCTGTTGTTTAGTATTCTTGAGGTAGTCTTGTACGCATTTCGAGTTGAAAAGTGATTTGATAACTTGTTTTTAATTAAATAATTCTGGTTTTTTGCATAGGTAAATACTAACACAATCATTCATGGTCGTAGCCCCAAGAAATGAACTAAACGAACTGGTTCTCCCTGAACCCACTGTTCACCCTCCCCTCATTGTTTTTCCATTGTCGCTATCAAAAATATCTGTATTACTTTTGAATTGGCGAGCTGCCAGGTCTAGCAAAAAAAGTCGATTTTCCTTCATGTTGAGTGTTGTGTAAACGGCTTTGTTCTTAAAGGTCTGGTTACCATGAAGTGCTTCTAAATTAAACTGAAGTGGTGATCTCTAGCTCGTCACAGAAGACCCCCTACATAGCTTTCGCTTTTTTCTGAATCCGAAGGACGAATTCGCTTTCATCTAAAAACAAATCAGGAAAATTAGTTCCAAAGGGCAAACTTTTAAAATAAGACTCAAATAGTGCACAAAATTGTATTAGAACTTGAGAGAGAGATAGAAAAAAAGGTGTTAGGAAATTTTACATCAATCCATGGCTTTTAATTACGTACATCCAATGTGGTACTGCTATAATGTGGTAACTATATTCCATTTGCCTTATCTAAAAAAAATGTTGACCTGAATATGACTGATTACCGCGTTTTCATTTTCATGCGTGTACTTTAAACTCCAATGGGAGATAAAATTAATTTAGAAATATTTCATAACGCAATAGTAAATAATTGGTGAAGTCATAATTCCAGCAGTAACAATACGGGTCTTATCAATGCGAAAATCTCTACTAGACATTGTCCATGTCGTTAAGAAAGAGTAATATACAATATGTATGATAAATTGACAATTTAATGCATATGTATTTTACAAATTAAACAGAATTTAGGTATATGATATAAATATCGAAGTATCGTTTAAAATAATAACTTTATTATTAAAAAGAAGTTAATTACTTTTTCGCTACTACTTACGCAGTAGAGAGAAAGTTCTTAAATGCAGAAAATACGGCGAATTTTCGGTAGAAAAACTCTTATTGCCGGGTCCGGGTAAAGAAAACGTGGATAAATCCAGTTGCTAAATTTAGTGGAGAAAATACTCTAACACGTGATGTAGTCAGAATTCACGTTTTGTAGGTCCTTTATACCGAAAAATCAGTTGACGGCAAAACGTATGTCCGCGAATAACGCTAGCGGCTAAATTGTTCAGCCGATTTTCTCCAAAATTGATATTCCCAATCGATCTGGCTGATGTCATGCCCCTTGAATTTGAAACCGATATTTTAATTTTACTTCACATAAAGCCCCTGAGACATTTTCAAAATTAAAAAATATAAGGTGAGTCTAATTTTATACCCTAAAGTCGTTAGATCTGGTAGATGGAATGAAATTATAATGATGAATGATGAAATGGACACACACGAACTTGCAGAGACATAAAACACAACCATGCCCCAGGCGGGACTCGAACCGGCGATCCTAGGGTCCGAGACCGCCACTACACTACTGCCCTAGTGATTTCGAATATCGATATCGGCCACGCCCTTTAATTAATAACATTTACATAATTTAATAATTAACTTCACACCTTTAGTTATATCTAATTTGAAAATTTACAAAGACATATCTATAAATTTTTACACGTAATTTAGAGAAAATATTGTAATGATGTGGGGGGAAAAACCAACGATTTTTTGACAGTAAAAACGTTTTATTTTGGAGCCCTGATAACGAAAAAGTGATTAAATCTTGTTCAGTAGCGTAACTACCACTGGCCAAATTTGTTTTGGTGTAACTTAACACACTTCAAAGGCCCCTTCAGAAAGCGATTTGATTATTACTATAAATCGACTAGTGTAAAGTTTGAATTACCTATTTTATTATGAGCACGTGAAGCTGTTCTCCAAATTTGTAATTTGATCTCCTGGGGGCCTATTGCTTCACTGCCTATTGCCTCAATCTCTATCGCTTCACTTAAAGTTGTGTAGGCCCAGAACTGAAGCGACAGTGTCCTACAAGACAGCAGAAATGTTTCCCTTTTGGCAATTCTGATCAGATACGCTGATGTTTTCCAAGCCGTATCAAAAATAATTTTATCAAGCAAACGTGTATCTGAACGAGCAGATGTGTGCAACTTGAAAAAAGAAATGGAAATGTTCGAGTTTGTATTTCAAGTTGTATTGAATTCAAAAAGTTAAATCACGACTAATGCTGTGGCTCAAAATCTGCAAAAATCTGATTTTCATCTTTTACAAACACGGAATTTTATCGAAACTACTGGCAAGGATGAAAAAGATTTTAGAGGTGACTTTGACAAAGCCAAATCGGATGCAATGGAGTTGGCTATATCTTGGGAGTAAAAGTCGGGTTTTGCGAGAATGGAGTTAAAAATATGACGAAAAAGAAATGAAACGTCATTTCGGAGACCCAAACTTTTTTCGCTAAATTTTTCTCGCAGATCATGTTTTCGTTGACCTATCTAAAGTTTCGAATATTGCAAATGATAATTTGTTTTCGGCATCTTCTTAAAACTGTGATATTAAAGATATATATTTTTCCTTAATAAAATTTGTTCACCAAAAACATCTTAAAATTTGGTCATGTACGGTAAGCAGTTTCCGCGTAATTTAGCGTAGAATGGACAATATTTAACCAACTATTCTTCAAAAAAGGTTTTTTTGTTCTGGTTAGAGCAAACGACGATTTTAAAAAAAGCAAAGGTATTTTTTTTCGGCGAATCCTCCATACTGTGGAAAATTGGAAAACAATTAACATCTCTAAACAATATAGAGGATAGCTTTTTCACTTAATACAATCTGTTCTTCTCAAATAGATGTTTAAGGTTATATACATTTTTTTAAATGATAAAGTTTCGTATCTTTTTAAAATTTTTGAAATTGCAAATTCGAATGTCCCGCTGCTTTTTAACGTTTGTCTAAATATTGTTTTGATTTTTAAGAATAAAAATAATTAAAAATGCTTGAAATTTTGATTTCACTATGGTAAATTATTGATATCTTCTTGAAAATCTTTATCTCGCATTTATATACTATTCTAGTGATATCCATGTTATGAAACTAGATGTGTATGTAGGCTATATTAAACATTATATATGGCTTTTGAAAAATATTTAATGGAAAATATGCATGTTCTTTTGCTGGTATATTTCAGAAGTTATCAGGTCGCAAGACAATAGTGGCAAAGCCGTGACACGGCAGTTTGAAGTTCTCAGAATAACTTCTCTTTGTTGCGTGATATTTCCGAATGCAAGCAAGGCAGTTTTGGATTGTCGAACGTGTTGATGTATTTTCTTTATATGAATGAAGTTTTGGCACCTAAAACGCCACGATTGGTAATGCGTTTTACGAGTGATGGCTGAGAGGTGATGATGATGAATGTGGCTGAGGTGTTAATTTGAACACAAAATGAAGTATAATACTTTTACGTATCCTCCAAATAAGAGAAAGTATGAGGTGTTGTAACACCACTGATAATGTATTGTGCCATGAGTACTCTTCAATTTTAGAAACAATCTTTGAAAATGACATTAGGAGAAGTAAACTTTAAACATTTTCGTTTTTCTTGTACACATTCTTAAAAATTACTTTTTGCATTATGTAAATAACATTTCTCTGTTCTGCGTGGCGTACAAAAAAGGAAAAGAAAGAAATATTTTCAATCGTCTTTGGGTAGTTTTCAAATGAAAATATGAATATTTTGTGTTCCAAAAAAGGTTCAAATCTATCGTTCCACTAACCAGACAACACAAGGATACTTAGTTGAATGATCTGCAAGAGTGGATAAGTTATAAAAAGAACTCTTGGATTACAAAAAAATGCTTTTCTGGGATCTTAACTTCACTGCCCACGGTGTAAAATATCGTTCCACTGCCCTTCCAGGTTTATGGTGACGTACTCGTATCTCGTGCGGATTTGTAAGTCCGCGCGTTTCAGAAACGTCCGCTGGGAGCGCCAGTGGCTTCAATCTTATGGAAGTTGATGGCCTTGAAGTCAGCTGGGGAGAACCGGCTAAGCTGAACGTGTGGTTGACAACCAGCCACGAAGCTTAGTATACGCCGGAATACGCTACGAAGTATAATCATGCTGCGATCACGCAAATGTCTCCAAGTTAAATCAAAAATGTGTTCGCATTTAACAGATATTGTGGTACCTCTTGTTTTAATAGTGAGAAAGTTGTAATGATTCATTTGCCAACATTTTTTTCAAACACGGAAGAACGGGATACATAGTACTCCGTGCTTCAAGCAAATCGTGTGAGACACAGCAACAGGTGCTGATGACGTAACTTGCGTGTGAACGACGAGGAGTGACGAATAGCCTATGACGGCGGGAGAGCTAAAAGTCCGCACGGGACGGTGATAAAATTGTGATAAGATTGTATTTTTGGGTGTCTGCCTGAGATTCACAGGAGTCGTCAAAACGGAAGAGTATAAAATTATGGGTCTCAGAATGCCCTTGTATGAAAATTAAAAGGAATGATTCTCTACATCTTTCGTAATTGCAGAAGCCAACTTTTGCGCTTTGATGCAGTGTTGAAATCTTGCTTTTGTATTCAACCCATGCGCAAACATATATACCTTTAATTTGATCTTAATAGCTTACGGAATTAAGTAGTAGTCGACCTTGTAAGCGCATCAAAGACGAGCACAAGTGCCCACGGGAAAGCAGTTAAACAATTTGACATTTGATTGGAACAAAGGATGACAATAGGACTCGTGCAACAGCGAGGTCTACTTACAGATCACTGGTCGAAGGTTTAGTGAAGAACTGAGAACTAATTAGTTTCTTCATGAATTACGTAGACCTAATTTTATTTTAGAATGGAAAATGCGTCATTGTCTGCACCTGTTAACAGTCCATCAGGGTAAGTCATTTTTATGTTTGCCAATATTTTCATAGATTGGAAATAATTAAATGTGTTTCCAACAGATTCTGTCATTTGGACTTCAGAAATTAATGTATCAATATTACAATTAAAACTTATAAAATCAGATTTTAAGTAAAAAACAGTTGATTTCTGTAGAAGTTAGAAATTCATGTTTTAGTACGTGCTTGAACAAAATTAAAAATATTTTTCTCTGACAGTTCAAAGGATTAACTATTAAGCATTAGTCACTGCCAAAGAGTAAATGTAGAAAATGGTGTTGGTTTTTCAAAATTATAACTACAAATTTTATTTTCAAATAAAATGTGTGCATTCATGGTTGGTACCTTTGACTTTAGTTATTGTTAGGTTTTCTTTTGCTTTGCAGAATCTCAGGAAGCGCAAATGTTTTATCCGAGGTCACTACTTCCCTCCCTTCTTTTAACAAAATGGATGAAAAGGATGCTCTTGTCAAGAAAATTCAGATCTGGATTGTTACTCAACCACAACTTAATGCAAGGACTGGTATGAATTTCTCAATGCTCACAACTTTTTTATGTACAAATACTAATACATTTGCTAATACAAAATTACTTAAGAACTTCTGTGTGGAAACTTCTAATTACATTTCTTATTGCAATAAGAACTAAATTTCGTATTTCTCATCTCAGTAATTTGAGCTAGCAGCCCAGTCTTCTTGCATAAACATTTTTTTCTATGTCTAATATATTTGGAGTGTCAAACAAATTTTATTAGCATATTTTTAACATGTACCTAATAAATATGTTCTATTTTGCATATTTTCAGTGTGGTAGGTACTTGAACTTAGATTTTGTGGTTATATTAACATATTAATATTGTTAATAATAGGTAAAAATTAACAGTTTAGTATTTTAATTATCCAAATGGAAAATAATAGGAATGGATCAGTGACATTATTGTGCAAGGGAGTGAACAAGATGTCAAAATTTCCAAAATTCAGCCATTAAAGAGGGTAACACCAAGAAATTAGTTTCTTGAAAAGTTCATGTCCATTTTATTTTGGTTCATAAGAAAATTAAAAGAATTTTTAATATTAAAAGTAAATAACAAATTATTATAATCTAAATTAAAATGTTACAATTTAAAAGTAAAATGATTATATTAAGAAAGCCCCCATCAATGAGGATCGATGTTGTAGGATCAATTTAAGTAATAGGTGGGATGGAAAGAGAGGATGTGAATTGACTAGAAAAAGATACCATCCAGATGACACAATCCTATGTAATGTCTGAAATATGGCGTTTCAAGGTGCATACTAAGAACACAAAAATTTAACGAGAAACCGTTTGTTGTGGTTTATTGCAATTGGTGTACTTAAATTTATCACCACAATGCAGCAGATCTTAGTCATTTCACAGTTTTTGCGACATCTGATTTGATGTAATTAGTGTTCTTGATTTTCAGTATTAATCCTGCATTTTGTTGCCCAAAAAAGGGATTCCACAAGTTAAAAAAATTGGGAAAATTGTCAACAATATGAAAAAGAAAACACAATGTTATTCATTTAATTATTTTTTTTATTACAGATATTGTGTACCTTCTGAGATTTCTACGCGGATGTAAATATGACGTGGAGAAAACAAAACGTAAGATAGCAAACTTTTACACTATTCGTGCCAAAGCTCCAGAATGGTTCTTGGACCGTGATCCTCTGTTACCCGCAATCCAGGAAATGCTTAATATGGGGTAAATTTAATTAATTCAATGGAAGAGTGGCTGAAAACTTTGGTATTCTGCATTGCTTGTGACACCTTCCTTGCCTGTGATTCAAGAGAAAATGAATATTGTATTTAGATCTTGGCATTAAAATATAGGAAATACACATTAGAAATAAGTACTGTTTTCTTTTAACAATATTAAGATTGGAACAAAATATTGTGAGGACATGTTTCATAACATGGAATTATTAATCTGTTAGGTGCAGGTTCTATTGGCTTAGTTAGCCATTATATTTAATCTAAACTCTCTTTTCAAATTTCCCAGAATTCCAGAAAATCAATTAGGATTATTTTATTTTTATATAAGTTTTATATTCTTTTAGATGCAATAAGGACTTCTAAGTAATTGCATTTGCGTCCTATTAATGAAAGACAAAGAACACTTTGTACCAGCTTCAACAGTATTTATTATTAAGTTATTATTTATTAAGGGTAATAAATGTAAGACATTTAAAAAATAATTATTAGCTCATTATGCCCTAATAACAAAACTGTTTTACAACTTGCAATTTCTTAGTTACATTTGATACTTTATACTCTGTATGGATACACTTATAGATATATCAAAGTCTGTATGTAAAAAAGAAAATAATACTTTAACCCAAGAAACAAAACTGATTTTCAGTACTCGCCTATAATGCTTCATTTTGTGGACTTTTCATATTTCCTATTTGTTCATTAATATTTGCTTCAGATTGTATTTTAATGTAATTTAACTCTCAATTTCAAGCTCAAAATTACATATTATATTTTTTCTCGAGACATGTTAAGCAACTGAAAAGTGATATTCACTCTGACCATTGCTACGCTTTGCAAGAGTTCAGAGTCCAAATTTAACATGCATTTGGCATGGATATTTCCTTGTTGTGATTGTGATACAGTATGCTTTGCTTAACATCATATACTCCATATAAATATCTAAAATATCTAATTAATCATAAATTTTTCTGCATTTGCTTGCAAACATTACTTAGGAAGACACCTATAGATAAGGAGAACTTGCCTGGGATTATAGCAATTCATTTCTACTCTCTTGAATTAATTAATAATTTGTAAATATTGTTTCTTAAGGGCATTTTGACAGAATCAGTTTCATTTCAGTTTTCAAATTTGAGAAACAGAGGATATCAAGCTATACTTTGAAATTTTATGAGAAATAATGGTAGTTATTAAACTTAACTTTTGAAATGATAGTTATATCAAGTTTTAGGAACCCACATGTTAAGAAAATATATATTCAGTGTTAATAGATCCATTATCTTAAATTACATAATAATTATTCTTAAAACAGAAAAATTATTTTTTGTACAGGGAAAGAAACTGACAACTGATTTAAAATGACCTGGAGTGTATTATGCTAAAAATGTTGATTGCAAAGGAATCAAACAATTCACGCTGTATACATGTGGAAAATATATGAAGAGTATTTGGAATGGGTATTAGAAATAAACTTCAACAAAACAGAGTGGAAATAGTTGTATTAGGAAGTGCTAAAGGTCAGAAACTGTATAATGATTCAAAAGTACAAATCCTGCTTAAAACTCTCATTTCTAGGTACAGAAATAAATGAAAATAGAGCCAGTATGCTAGGTATTAAAAACAGAATTGCAAAAGGCAGAGTGACTATAAGACAATTATATACACTGATATGGAAAAATTAAATAAATAAAAGTGTGAAAATAAAATTGTGTAAGACAGTCCTAGAGAATACTGCTCTTTATGGGTCCGATATAAGGAAAGTAACAAAAGAGAGGTGAAAAAATTGACGGCAATGGAAATTACTTTGGCACCATATTGCAGATTGACTTAAATGAATAAAGTTAAGTACGAAGAAATTAAACAAGAAGCGGAAATAAGTTTGCATTTAATTGACTACCTTGAAGTCAAAAGACTCAAATGTTATGGACACATGCAAAGAATGAATGAAAAACATTGGGCAAAAATATTGTGGAAAGAGCTACCAGATACCTACTGATGAAGAGGAAGCCTTAGACTTGCATGGGAAGGAAGAGTATGAGAGTGAGTGATGGTGAAGAAAGGACTGAAGAATGAAAACTATAGGGATGGAGGGAAATGGAGACTGGAATGAGAGAGAAACCCTAGAGTAAAATATTACTACAATACTCATCATACTACTGCGATACATGCAGAGTTGTATCCAAGCTGTATTATTAAATTTTAAATTTTTATTTTGTATTTGTAACCACATTGAGTAGATGTTTCTGGTAGTACTACACATAAAAGGAAATGCTTGATAAACAGTGAAACTCCGTTTGTACGTTTTTCTTGGTAAGTCCCGGATAAATTCCTATAATTTGCATGCTCAATTATTTCAGTTATGCGTTTTACGTTTTTCGTACGTATGCGTTGATAACAAAAGCCCCTTTAAGAACGCATAGCGTCCAAAATATCCCGGCGAAGCGCGGGCGACCTGCGCAGAGAGCCCTGAACTTGCACGTTACTCGAGTCGGCGGGTCCGTGGCGCTCAGATGCCGAAGCGATTTCCCGCTAATGAAATACGTAGCATACGAGCTCGACTCGGCCCAGCTGAGGGGCCAAGACTTCGGGGTGGTCGCGCAAACTCTGCTCCCGGGCCACCTCCGGCAGCGGAACTTGGAAAAACTACAGAGTCGGGTGCGTTCGAGAGCCCCGAGGATCTCAGGAGGCGACGGCTGGCTCCGAGGCAAGGACAAGGGCGTCCCCGGGAGAGCGTAATGAATACCAATAAGTGAAGCTTGTGCTCTGACCGTCCCACGCTCCCTCCGAAAGCCCTTTTGCTCGCCCCTTTGCTAATATACGAGATGAGGCGCGGCTCGTCATTAAAGACTGGAAGGTGGAGCATCTCCTTATGTAACAATCATTTGAAATTTTTTTGTCTGTCAGTTCGATAACGGCTGTCCGTAACGCATTTGAAGCTGTTGACGGGGAAGAGAAAAGCGTTAGGCTCCCGTTTCATTCTGCCGCAAGGCCTGTGCACAACGCGGAGTGACGTCATGCCATCACAAACCGGCGGGCGAAGGCTGCGGCCAGGCAGAATCTGAAGACGAGCGTGCACAGCAGGTAGCGTTACTCTACAGCTCAGCGAGTAGCATTGAGCACCAATTGGTTTTCTCAATCTGCGGTAGGAGCGCTACTCCCTCATGCCTGTATCGGAAGAGATGAAGTTTGAAATACAATGCATGCAATGCAATGCATGCAATGCATGCAATGCAATGCAATACAATACATATGCAGCCTTCCCCATATAGAAAACCGCGGATACCGTACGAGGTTCTTTCGGGAGCGGCGCGGCAGAAGCAGCTATTGAAACTGATCGCGGGTGTCGCCACGTACTGGGTAACCCACGCTCGCGTCGCACACTGGGGCTGAGGCAGTTGTGCGCTTCGTGTTGCCCACGTAGAACACCGCGCTTTGACCCGCGGAATCTCAAGTAACACCAAGCCTCAAACCGAAGCAACCAGCCGCGGGTCGCCGCCGTCTGTTGTAGCCCTCGCGGGACACGGCCCTCCGCAGTGAGTCACACAAGGTCATCCGTAAGGTCCCCAAGACGTTTCCGTTCTAACGAAAAAGCAACCCCTTGTCTCCTCAATGTCTAATAAAATACAAAATTTAAAAGTTGCTAGGGAGAGTGGCAATATATTTTTTTGGGGGGGGGTAGATATTGCTAAACTACTTGGAAAACTGGAAAAACTGTTGCGCAAATTATTTAATTTTTATTTGTTTGTTTTAAATGTTTTTGATATTGGGAATTAAAATCAAATGTTCCAATTGGTATTGAAAATTAAAATACCTCTTCCTAAAGTGTAGAACAGAATTGATTGAAATTGAGATTTAAATCAAATGATTTAGGTAAAAAATCAGAGATTTTAATAAAAGTTTTTTCTACTTTTCAGATAAGTTTGTCCAGATTGTGTTTGTTTGTTGATTTTTGTTTCTATTGATGTGGTAATTTTAATTAATAAATTAGCCAAATTAATTGATTATTAAAATTTGCTGTAACAGTTTATAATGGTAGTAGTAAGTACCTTTGGATTTGTGTAACATAAGACAAAATGTGATGTACAAGTTTATAATATTGTTGGTTGACCTGATATGAAGCTTGCATGACAATTCTGTATGCACAGTGATTAAGTATTCCAATTTTCTCCTTATATTAGGGACAATCGGGTAGAAAAAGTTATTTGTTTAATTTAATAAATTTACTAAAAGCAGATGGATAATCTGTGAAGAAATGTTAGTCAAATTTCCCTACTATTCAGGGCATGAATTAAGTTCGCGCAGTTGTGTAAAAATATAATGTTGGTAAAAGTTGGTAAGATTGGTAAAATGTACCTCAATATTTGTAACTTTTCATCATTACAAATATGATGTAATTACCATCTTCTGTAATTTGAATTAGAAGGAAATATTTGAAACCATGAGAACCATGATATATATCTACCCTCACCAATTGCCAAAAAATGAGTTGGTTAGGGAGGACATGCCTTGATGATAAATTCCCCTCTGTGCAAAAGAAATGGAGATAGTTCCAATGTACTGTATTTCAATTCTCTCCATAGGGTGTTTCTTCCTCTCCATAGCCGTGATCATGAAGGCCGGCTAGTAGTGGTAATTCGAGCCGCAGTGCATAACCCTAATTTCCACCTCCAGAGTGATGTCTTTAAGGTGGGGAAAATGATTCTTGACCTCGTGTTGGAGGAAGATGAAAGTGTCCCTGTAAAAGGAGTAGTGGCAATCATTGATCTTCAGGGAGTGTCTCTGGGCCATGCACTCCAGCTCACTCCTGCTGTTATCAAGAAAGCTGTGCATACATGGCAGGTAGTTACCATATAGGAGTACTTGAATTACTATTTGTACACACACGGGAGGCTGTTTCCTTTTAATTTTGACTTCTGGTGTGTGATACTTGCTCTGAGGAAAGTAGAGGAATCATATTGGCTTTAAAATGTTACGCATCTCAAATAAATTTTTAATGATATAAAACCCACTGGATTGGATATTGATTAATTTTATTTTTGTGGTCAATAATTTTGCTTGAATCTAGTTTAGAGAGTAATAGGATTATTTAGGATTATTATTATTATTATTATTATTGTTATTGTTGTTATTGTTATTGTTATTGTTATTGTTATTATTATTATTAAATTCAGTTTCGGAAAACATCTCTCTTGGAAGCAATTAATGTTAATTAAAAATGGTGAAAACACTTTTATATAATTATGAGGAAGTGAAAAATTCTCCTTGTCTACCACCCAAGCATTTCTCTTCAAACATCATACATAGTTTTTATTGTCTTGAAAAATGAGGTTAAAGAAAACCTTCCTAGAAGGCCGTAAATGTCATGAATGTAACATACTGGTGTTTTGATTTTTGTAAACAGGATTGCTACCCTGTGAGCCCAAAACGACTGGACTTCATCAATGCTCCTATGTATGTCAATGTAGTACTGAACGTCTTCAGAAAATTTATGAAGGATAAAATGAGAAAAAGAGTGAGTTATGCACTTTTCTAGAAGGTACTGTTTTTGAATGTTGGAAGTATATGAAACGTTTTTATGAATATAGGTATATGTGCACCCTGGGCATCTGAATAATCTTCATAAGGAGGTTCCCAAATCAATTCTTCCGAAAGAGTACGGGGGTTCTGATGGATGTGTGAGTGAATTAACAGGTAAAGGATTGAGATCTATTTTACAATATGTGTATTTTAAGAATGTAAATTTATTATAGTCCAGAAATTGTGTTAACAGGGAAATGAAAGTTGCAATTTTTCTACTTTATGTCTATACTATGTAGTTGCCATGGAAATGTGGTGATGCGAATTATAGATAAACGGTATGGGGATAAGACAAATGGTTTGAAAAGTAGAGGAAATTAACTCTTTGAGAATTGACTACAAGTTAGTTTTACCATAGATTTCATTTTCAAAAGCACTAGCTTTGCATCTTAGGATTAACATTGTTATATGAAATGTTATAAAATGCATACTAAACAATAAAATTTTACCTTTTTGTACTAAAGTCACAGGCTTTCAGAAGAAAAAAAAATGCAGTCTTCGCTTACTTCCTTCGTTGTACTAGCCATGTACTTATAACAATAACATTTAAAACACCTAATTGCCAATAGGGCTCCCATTTAGAGTTTTTGTGCTGGCGTCTCCAAGAACCTAGCTATGTCACTCGGAAGCAGATCAACAACCTTTATGCCTGTAGGCACATGAAAATTGCCTCCTATTTGTTATCAAATAACCCAGGAAACAACTTATAAATAATAAGTATAATTTATGTTCAAAAATTGAACAATCTTATTTATGATTAAAATTTAATGAAATTTAATTAAGAATTTGAGTGTGTTCATTTTTTTCTGTGGAAAATCAATGAATTCTTAAAGCATATATTTTCTTAATATAATCATAAATCTTAATTGTAAGACTTCTGAAAATGTAAACATCATTCATTTGACTTACAATTTACATAGCAGAAACTATTTTAGTCCACAATTTTTGCCACCGTAAGCAATGCCTTCTGTGTCGATGTATTAATCTGCCCCTGATGTTTGCACATGGGGCCATCCCCCCCCCCTCTGGGTCTAGAGTTTTACTTTACCTTACGTTTCCACAGTTGATTTAAATATTTATTTATTTTTGAATTATGTAATTATTTAAACAATTATATTGCATAGTATCGTATCGACAGTACATAAACAACGTACAATATTATAACATATATGTTTATTATTTAACAAAAACTGCAATATCCCCCTCAAAATGATTGGTTGGATCTGCCCCTGATTGATTAAAGTGTAGTTTTGATCTTGTTTGTTTAGATGCTATTGAATTTTTGCAAGATCCATTGGTTTATGGTGTTAATTTGATCTTCTACAGTGTTTGGTTCTTGTGATTGTAATATGACTTTTTTGCTGCTGGATCTGCTTTTTCATTATTAGAGATCCCTTGGTGTGTTAGAATCCTTTCTTAGAATGTTGATGTGTTTTAAAGTTCATTTTGGTTTTAACAAGAAAAGAAAAAAAAAAAGGAATATTGGTCTGCTCTTCTAAGGAGGAAAGTGAATAATTGTATAGAATGTGAAGGTCACAGTTGTAGAGTTTGATGAAATCATTTTATTGTATGCCTCTGTAAATTTTGGTATTGCATTTCTTAAAATTCATGGTTGTAGGTGACAATTGGTGGATGGTAAGTTGCTGTAACCTTTTGTAATAAACAGATGACAAGCTCAATAAACACATTTTGAGTATATCTGTATAAATATTGAATACTAATTATTTTGCCTTCAATTCTTGGCTTGTGTACAGAATTCGAATTGTTATCTTTTATTGTAATTGTGCATTGTCACAGCAAACAGCAGCAAAGTTACCACTTTGTAGTATGGATAGAGACTTGTGATTAAAAAATTGAGCATGATGGATTTCAAAATATGAATGATTCCAATAATCAATAAAAATAATTAAAGAAGAAACATCTGGGAAAGTAATATCAAGGTTCACAACGTTGATAAAGTACATACAGTTGACTCTGGTTATAGTGGACGAACTCTTGGTTATAGTGAACTTACACCACTGGTCCCATACAAATAAGCATAAGAAGATTAGGTTATAGTGAACATGAACCTCAGCTATAGTAAACATAGGAAGTAATTGTATGTTATTAAGTGAGGAAAAGGGCTTTCAGAAAGTGGAACAGTGTTCCAACAGTGCAACAGGCTTTGAACGGTGTCAAGTCTATATTACGATACTTAAACAGAGGACAGTCAGCAGAATCAAGTTTGGAGAGCACAAATTCTGGAGAAGGATCTAGAGAATTACTAATGAAATATGTACGAAGTAAACGATTGAAAGTAATTGAATTTTTAAGTACAAATAAAGATACAAATTATAAGTTCGGGCCATTAATGAATTTTGTTGTCTCTTTATTAATAAAATTGTGGAGAAATTCCATTTAATTCTGGTATCGGGTGCAGTGAACCTCTGATAGCGAACTAAACATGTGTCCTCAGATGATCACAATAACTGGAGTCAACTGTATTTTCATTACCACTTTTTTTCTAAAATGGATGTTGTATTACTTCAGTTGGTTATTTATGAATGTGTTTAATGAGAGACCACAAATTTTTGTATCTTTGCAGAGTATTGGAAGCAAAAAACTATTGCAAGTCGTGAATGGTTCATAGAAGATGAAAAATATAAAGCTGTTGTGGAGTAAGATGAGAAGAGTTCTTGTAATGTTACACTGTTTTGGTTGGCAATATGTCTTGTAATATTTAGCCAGTGAAATATTCCAAGTACTTTGGAATAGCAGAATCTGTATGTATTAAATTACATGTAGCCAAGTTCTCTTTCTAACTTACTGAGTAATGTGCTTGTTATTTTTGAACAATTTCTAACTTTAAAATAATTAAGAAGAGTATATGCATTTTATACCAAATGAAATAATTGTAACTTTTGTGTTTATTATTCTAGAAATAAAGGAAGTTTTTATTTATTTGATTTACGGTGTTCCTTTTTAACTTGATTATTCTTCTCCTGTCACCAAGTAATTTTGTTTGACTGCTAGAGGTGACAACATGGACTGATAATCTTAACTGAGTTACCCCATGAAGTGCAAAAAACAATAATAAGGAATTGAAAGATGTCTATCATTTATGTAGTTTAAATTACATTTCAGTTTTGTAACAGATCTCTGGAGGCACCTTTACATGGTTGATATCTCTATTAACCCTGTATACAGCCCATCATATGATACATCATACACTAACTTCTGGTCAACACAAATTTGCGTTTTTTGTAATACTTTGTGAATTTTAAACTTATGTAATTTTATTTTTGTGAAAGACTAAAACACAAGAAGAAATCACAAATTTTAATGCCCAAAATTGCACAACATTGAACAATAGTTTGCAGTGTTACCTGATGTGTTCAGAGGGATTACGCCATGTTCGTTTCAGTTTCCGCCGAAAATCCGCTGAACTGGTTTTAAATTTCCCGCCTAAATCCACTAAACGTAAAATAAATTTTTTCTCCATATTTAAATGTTGCATTAATTTATTTTATTAAAACAAATGATAGAAAATAATGATAGAAAAGGACATATGCTTATGAATGCATGAAATAGATGAGGACAATTGCTTATTGTTCTTAACTATTTCATGGCGTTATTGGAGTATTCGAGCACCAATATTTTAAAATAAAATAATAATAATAATAATAATAATAATAATAATAATAATAATAATAATAATAATAATTAATAATAAAGGAGAGCGTAGGCTTCCGCGGCCGGAGTCAGTATTTACTAGGGTGTCCGGGTGTCGCCGCGTCCATGGCGAAGGTGCCGACGTTTCGGTCACCATTCTGCGACCTTCCTCATTACGCCCTGAGGAAGGTCGCAGAATGGCGACCGAAACGTCAGCACCTTCGCCATGGCGCGGCGTCACCCGGACAGCCTAGTAATTAATAATAAAGGACGCACTTACGTAGACTGTATTGTCTTTTATTATTATTTTAAAATGTTTCTCCTCGAACACTCTTTATATATGTCCAGGCTTTAATAGTGAAGATTTGAAATTCCGCTTATTTTCCACCGTCTTTATTAATTTCCGCTGTCCGCAAAACTAATTTTTTTCCGCCGTACGAGTTCAAAATCCGCTGAAAACGGCGGGAATTCCGCCGATATGGCAACACTGATGGTTTGTCATCATTCCAATGTTATTGCTTTCTCGCTCTTTTACTTTACTTAATTCTACAATTTGTATTCTCAATGTATTGAATGCAGAGTGACATGTATATTTCAGTGTATTTATGTCTTTCAATGTATTTGTATATTACATATATCTTTGTTCGTTTCTTACATTCCACTTTTGTTATACATTTACACATTAATCTTTCAGAAACTTTTTCAAACCTATTTGATATACTGCTAGTTTTCAGGAAATATCAGATTGAAATATTACAATGACCCGACAACAATGACTTGAAAGCTTATTTTTGTGATTTGCGTCTTGTTGTTGTGACATGATTTACCTGCATGAAAATCAGTTATAATTGTCAAATTTGTTTATATTTGCTTGAAAATATTTACTTTTTGCACTAAATGTTGTGCGATTTGTAATGAGTAGGGCTGGGCAGTATTTAAATACTTGTATATGGAGTACGCATTTTAAATAATTCGTTCATCCTCGCCCCTTGAAGAATTTTTCCTTTGCAGGTTTCACTAACTGGGGTTTGTCTGATTTGTTTGAAAAATAGATCGTTTTAAAAGCAAATTCCATTTGTTTGCGTTAGACATTTTTGATAGAATTTTATATTTAAAAATGTTTATACATATGACTACAATGCATTACAATATTTATTGTTAAAAAATTTGCATGACTGCAAAATTACAAGCCTTTATCCCGAAGGCAGATGTTCGCGCGCTTTTTAGAGAATGTGGAAACTCGCAAGTCAGTAACACCGTGCTCATAGTGCGCTTCATTCAAATCAAGTGACAAGTTTCTTATTAAGAGTTCTTATACTTTCCTCGGTGTACTGGGAGTAATGGAAAGACCCTTACTCCTTGAAAATATTACATTTGATATAAACTAGATTTTCAGCAAAGCAAAAATTTGATAGATATAATAAAAATATACATTTTACTGAATAGAAATTAGAACGTAAAGTTCTGAATTTTCGCAATTTTCAAAACATCAGGGTTTTCAACAAAAATGAGACCTGAACCATTCGTATTAATGTTCTCTATACTATAGAACAATAAAATTTAATCAAAAACCTTGGAGCTTATTTTTTGTTTCGAAAATGTCCCTGAGCCTTCTTGCAAAGGAAAAGGAATAGCTAAAATTTCAAATGATTCAACGTTCATTCATTTTTGCAATTTATTTTAAAAATTATATTACATAACTAGTATAAGTATTGCACAACTATTACTAAAGGCGAGAAATTGAGGTTTTAGCATCACTAGTTTCATTATTGTATAATTATAGTTATTTCAGACATTTTTGCATATTATCTCAAGTTTTTGGGTATTTAGTAATACAAATAAAACGACTTTAAAGATATCATCGTAGAGCGATCATTTTTATTATATATATATATATATATATAATTATATGTATATATATACTATATAAATTATTAAAAAAAATCAGTAAATTGGGATGTGGTGGTGAAGGTACATAATTTCCTAACCTGACATTTTTCTCAAAAGATCAGCGCAGGTGGCCCACATGATAATTCGTATTCATGTAAAGGCGTACATCACTGATCCCGTAGCGGTGCAGTTTAACAACAAAACTAATAACGAAGTCTTCATTAAACGAGCGATTGAAAAACTATTTGATATGCGTTTTAGGGTACTGTGAACCAATTTTTAATTAATAATTTTTTTCATTTATGATTGTATTTAAATATCATTCAATGTATTATCTTGTAGCATTCTTATAATTTCTCCTTTCATTCAACATTGAAGAAAAAGGCTCTATTTTCTCGGCACCATTTTCAATGCAGAAAACCTAAGAGATGTAAAGTGCCAACTCTCTCCTTATAAGTGGCCGTTAAATTTAGACAGTTCAAGGGGAGCATTTAGACAATCAAAAAATGGACTTACAACTGCTTGAAATGTTGCGCGTCATCCATCGATGCAAATGTTTTGGTTAGACTCTCGCATTGAGAGCCTCGGTAGAAACTTCAGTACCGTTTTTTATTTGCCACGTCCTTCACGTTGAAGTACGGTCTGAACTCCCTTAAAGTTAACGTAGGTTCATTAAAGTATAGTAAAGTAAGTTCCCTAAAGTTAAGTAGTTCGATACATAAAGAAAGGTTCCGATAAGTAGGTAATCGGGTTCCGATAAGTAAAGTAGGTTTCCGAATAAGTAAACGTAGGTTCCGATAAGTAATCACGTTCCGATAAGTAAATCTGGTTCCGATTAGTAAAATCTTTTTTCCCGAATAGTACAATCAGTTCCGATAACTAAAGTAGGTTCAGTTTTACGTAAGTAGGTTCAAGTTAACGTCAAGTAGGTTTCCGTTAGGATAAAGTAGCGTCCGTTAAGTAAAGTAGCGTCCCGGTTAGTAAAGTACGTCCGTTAAGTAAAGAGCGTCCGTTAAGGTAAAGAGCTCCGTTAAGTAAAGTCGTCCGTTAAGTAAAGTAGCGTCCGTTAATAAAGAAGCGTCCGCGTTAGTAAAGTAAGCGTCCGTTAAGTAAAGTAGCGTCCGTTAAGTAAAGTAGCGCCGTAAGTACAGTAGCGTCGTTAGTAAAGTAACGTTCGTTAAGTAAAAGTACTCCGTTAAGTAAAGTACGTTCCGTGAAGTAACGTAACGTTCGGAAAGTAAAGTAACAGTTCGTGAAGTAAAGTAACGTTCGTCGAAGTAAAGCTAACGTTCCGTGAAGGTAAAGTAGAGTTCGTGAAGTACAGTAACCGTTCGTGAAGTAAAGTAGAACGTTCTCGGAAGTAAAGTAACGTTCGTGAAGTAAACGTACGCTTCGTGAAGAAAGAGTAACGTTCGTGAAGTAAAGTAAGTTCGTGAAGTAGTAACGTTCGTGAAGTAACAGTAACGTTCGTGAGTAAAGTAACGTTCGTGAAGTAAAAGTAACGTTCGTGAAGTAAAGTATACGTTCGTGAAGTAAAGTAACGTTCGTGAAGTAAAGTAAACGTTTCGTGAAGGTAAAGTAACGTTCGTCTGAAGTAAGTACGTTCGTGAAGTAAGTAAGTTCGTGAAGTAAAGTAAACGTTCGTGAGTAAAAGTAACGTTCGTGAAGTATAAGTAACGTTCGTGAAGGTAAAGTAACGTTCGTGAAGTTAAGTAACTTCGTGAAGTAAAGTAACGTTCGTGAAGTAAAGTAACGTTCCGTGAAGTACAGTAACGTTCGTGAAGTAAAGTAACGTTCGTGAATCACGTAACGTGTAAGTAAACGTAACGTTCGTGAAGTACAGTACGTTCGTGAAGGAAGTAACGTTCGTGAAAGTAAATAACGTCGTGAATAAAGTAACGGTTCTGAAGTAAAGTAACGTTCGTGAAAAACGTGAAACGTTTCGGAATACAGTAACGTTCGTTAAGTAAAAGTAACGTTCGTTAATAAAGTAACGTTCGTTAAGTAAAGTAACGTTCTTAAGGTAAGTACGTTCGTAAGTAAAGCTAACGTTCCGTTAGTAAAGTAAACGTTCGTTAGTAAAGTAACGTTCGTTAGTAAAGTAACGTTCCGTTAGTAAGTAACGTTCGTTAAGTCAGTACGTTCGTTAAGTAAAGTAACGTCGGTTAAGTAAGTAACGTTTCGTTAACGTTAAAGTAAACGTTCGTTAAAGTAAAGTAACGTATCGTAAGTTTTAAAGTAAACGTTCGTTAAGTAAAGTAACGTTCTTAAGTAAAGTAACGTTCGTTAAGAAGTAAAGTACGTTTTCGTTAAGTACAGTAACGTTCGTTAAGTAAAGTAACGTTCGTTAAGTAAAGTACGTTCGCTAAGTAAGTAAGTTCGTTCAAGTAAATAACCGTTCGCT